AACCTGGCATATGCTGCTGATGTTATCCTCTCGATATGAGCTTCAGGGGACAGGTCTGGCGTGATATCAACCCCCAGGTCTTTCTCTCTCTCTGACTCTTGAAGTATTTCATCTCCCAAATGATACCTTGTATCTGGTCTCCTGCTCCCTACACCTATCTTAAGGTTATCTTGAGATGATTTCGGGGCTTTTAGTATCCCCGCGGCCCGGTCCTCGACCAGGCTTCCACCCCCAGGAAGCAGCCCGTGACAACTGACTAACACCCAGGTACCTATTTTACTGCTAGGTAACAGGGGCATAAGGTGAAAGAAACTCTGCCCATTGTTTCTCGCCGGCGCCTGGGATCGAACCCAGGACCACAGGATCACAAGTCCAGCGTGCTGTCCGCTCGGCCGACCGGCTCCCTATCTTCTCCCTATCAACCGACCAATCTTCATTACATTGCATTTGCTTGGGTTAATCTCTAACAACCATTTGTTCGACTATTCCTGCAGCTTGTCCAGGTCTTCTTGAAGCCTCAAGCTGTCCTTCTCTGTCTTAATCCTTCTCATAATTTTGGCGTCGTCAGCAAACATTGAGAGGAATGAGTCTATACCCTCTGGGAGATCATTTACGTATATCAGAAACAGGATAGGTCCGAGTACAGAGCCCTGTGGGACTTCACTGGTGACTTCACGCCAATCTGAGGTCTCACCCCTTACTGTAACTCTCTGCTTCCTATTGCTTAGGTACTCCCTAATCTACTGGAGCGCCCTACCAGTTACTCCTGCCTGTTTCTCCAGCTTATGCATCAACTTTTTATGGGGTACTGTGTCAAAGGCTTTCCGACAGTCCAAAAAAATGCAGTCCGCCCATCCTTCTCTTTCTAGCTTAATCTTTGTCACCTGATCGTAGAATTCTATTAAGCCTGTAAGGCAAGATTTATCCTCCCTGAACCCATGTTGATGGGTTATCACGAAGTCCCTTCTCTCCAGATGTGTTTCTAGGTTTTTTCTCACAATCTTCTCCATCACCTTGCAATGGCATACAAGTTAAGGACACTGGCCTGTAGTTCAGTGCCTCTTGTCTGTTAACCTTTTTGTATATTGGGACCACATTACCCGTCTTCTATATTTCTGGTAGGTCTCCCGTTTCCAGTGACCTACTATACACTATGGAGAGTGGCAAGTAAAACGCTCCTGCACACTCATTGAATACCCATGGTGAGATTCCGTCTGGGCCAACAGCCTTTCTCACGTCCAGATCCAACAGATGCCTCTTGACCTCATCTCTTGTAATTTCGAACCCTTCCAAGGCCGCCTGGTTTACTGCCACCTCTCCTTGTTCTATTGTGAAGACCTCCTGGAACCTCTTGTTGCCAAGTCTGTCCCGTAAATCATTATAAGGACATGTTTAAGACTCGAGCACATAGCTCACTGAAATACATAGAAGCCTGCTGCATAGGACAGCTGCAGTGAAGGTCACTGCTGTTGGTAATATTGGAGATGGAGCCTAGATACCGGATATTAACACGAACTCGGAAGACTTTGCAAGATAAATTGACAATATGCCCATGCACTCAGCTCCTGGGCCTGACTCATGGAATTCAAGATTCATAAAGAAATGTAAAGTACCAGTAGCGCGAGCACTCAGCATAATATGGAGAAAGAGCCTGGATTCAGGGAAGATACCAGCAGCACTTAAATCAGCAGATATATCTCCTCTGCACGAGGGCGGTAGTAAAGCCTTGGCCAAAAAATTATAGGCCAGTTGCGCTAACATCACACACACAATAAAAGTTTTTGAAAGAGTGATTAGGTATCAAATTTCTAGTTTTACGGAAAATAATGAGCTACACAACCCAGGACAACATGGATTTAGAGCGGGCAGATCCTGTCTGTCACAGTTACTCAACAACTATGACAAAATCACAGAAGCTCTAGAAGAAAAGCAAAATGCAGATGTTGTATACACAGACTTTGCAAAGGCATTCGACAAATGTGACCATGGAATGATAGCACACAAAATGAGGTCAATGGGAATAACTGGTAAAGTAGGACGTTGGATACTCAATTTCCTGTCGAACAGAACACAGAGTAACAGTCAATAAAATAAAATAGAGTCCAAGCGCAGTTAAAAGCTCTGTACCTCAAGGTACGGTCTTTGCACCACTGCTTTTCCTTATTCTCATATCAGATATAGACAAAAATACAAGTCACAGTTTCGTGTCATCCTTTGCAGGTGTCACAAAATTCAGCATGAAAATTACCTCTACAGAAGACATTGAAAAACTGCAAGCAGATTAAAACTACAAAACTACAACCATTCAATGGGAGACGGTCTTAAGCGACAAAACTCCCATACAGGGAATAGCTCAACTGACAACTGAAGCACACATTAAGCATTAACAAAGTTTTCGATTGGGCAGCAGAAAATAACATGATGTTTATCAGTGATAAATTCCAGGTGAGCAGTGAGTACTGCTCAGTACTCACTTCCCCCTCCAGAGCAGGAGAGATTG